ACATCCATATGCAATCCTAGACTACAGCATGAAAATAACATGTGCCAATTTCTACACTAATCAGATGTAATTTAGGTTATACAGTATATACACTCATTCACATTATATAGCAGTGGTCTCAAACTCAGTTCCTGGAGGGCCGCAGCTCTGCATAGTTTACCTCTTACCATCTCCAGCTCACACCTGCTTAATAGTCTCTAGTAGTCTTGAACACCTTGATTGGTTGGATTAGCTGTGTTTCATTAGGGTTTGAGTAAAACCCTACAGGTACCTCCAGGAATCCAGTTTGAAACCTATGATCTAGGCTGCGTCCGAAACCGCCTACTACTCAGTAGGTACTGCATTTGAATTTAAACGTACTACTCGGCCGTTAGAAAAGTACGTTCTATACAGTATGAATGTGAAAAGTATGAATGGAATTCGGACGTACTACATCCGCCATTTTGTCATGGTCACGTGACCTACCTTCGTCAGTTGCGTCGCTTTAATTCCATTCATGAATTCTCTCGCGGGGCATCATGGGATAGCGCAGCATGCATGGGATGCTCACTCCGGAATCTCGCCGGAAGTAGTAAGTCATCCGGGTACTTCTCGCATACTGATTTTCGAATTCTATGAATTCGGACATACTACTCGGCTCGCATACTGATTTTGGCGTACTATATAGTATGGAAGTATGCGGTTTCGGACGCAGCCATAGAGTTTTTTTTTTGACACACTGGGTTCTGGTATGCCACTATTACCCGTACAACAAAGACAGAAATATTTTATTTTTGTTATGAATAATAGTGGTTTTCGCTCATGAGATCTCAAGATCGTTTTGTTGTGCTTTGTTATGCATATGCTTTAGTTTGTAGGTTTATTACAGGGCAAAAGTTCATCTGCAACTCTTAACCCACATACACCTCCACAGCATTTCTTTGAACGTTTTCTGTTTTCAGTTATTGATGCCTGAACCACTTCTGACAAAAGACCGCAACACATCTCCGTTTGAGTGGAGCGATTATGTCAGAGTGCATGAAGTATCTTGTGATGTTTTAGTGCATTAAAATGCAAAATGAAAACCACATGCAAAACAGAAAGACCTGACAGCAATCAAACTGTAAATTTATGAAAATGGCTACCATAGTAGCACAGTGGGTAGCACGATCGCCTCACAGCATGAAGGTCGCTGAATCGAGCCTCCACTGGGTCAGTTGGCATTTCTGTGTGGAGTTTGCATGTTCTCCCCATGTTAACATGGGTTTCTCCATGTGCTCTGGTTTCCTCCACAGTCCAAAGAGGTATAGGTGAATTGGGTACTCTAAATAGTCTGTAGTGTATGTGTGTGAATGAGTGTGCATGGATGTTTTCCAGTGATGGGAAGGGCATCCACTGCGTAAAATATATGCTGGATAAGTTGGCGGTTCATTCCACTGTGGTGATCCTAGGTCAAACTAAGCCGAAAAGAAACTAAATGAATGTTTAGAAAATTAATTGTGAATTTACATTCAAACAATAGTTTTGTAAATAATCAAACAAATAGGCTAGTCTATTTGGTTAAGCAACAGCATGAAATACTTCGCAACACAACCATTTAAACCATGGTGTTTGAAACAATAGTTGTTCAAATACAAATGTTAATCGATGCGCAAGAAAGAAAGTAAAAAAAAAACAACAACTTAATGTCTTTTAATACAAAGAATTCGAGGTTAATTTCCTTAAGGGTTCATTTAAACAGTTTAAAAGGGACTTATTTCAGTGATAGGCTAACTAAGTGTTTAAACGTTGTCTCCATCTCCCTCTTGTGGTCACTGACGTGAAAGTTTTTAATAAGTTTTATTTTTACACAGTCGTCCACATGTGACCATGCTTGTTTTTACCACGCTACTTTGAATATTCGCTCTGAAATTGAATAAGAATGACTCTAAAACATCATTAGCATATTTAATTGACTGAAACAGTGTACTTTGATAGTCGTTGGCTGCTAATATGATTTTCGTTTTTAGAATTTGCCATTAAGAACAAAATCATTTAAATAATTTCATTAAAGAGAAAGTCCGAACGTGCGAATATAATCAACTTTACCCTAATCTTTTAGTCTGCTTTATGCAAACTCACATTTTCGAACATAACACTTTGTTGAAAACGCGAAAGCCATACAGTAGCCTACAGATGCTATGATATCACTCTGAGCGTCTCGCGTTGATTACGTCATATCCACGCGCACCCACTTCTCGGCGGTTTTTGCAAGCGACCTGAGGAGGTAAGGATTTTGTGCATGTATTTTACTTTAAACATAAACTAAGCTTTATTTTATTTACACTGTTCAGATTTCACGCGTGAAGAGGTTCGTAATGAGTATTTGCAGAGCCAAGCGGGACCAAAAATCCCCATTAAATTTTAGTTATCACATAAATTGTAATAACAAAGTTGCAGTTGTGAGATGACCTGGGGTCTGTTTTAACAGGGAGATTCAAGCAACTCTGAGAACGTTTGAACTCTGAGCTGAGTTATTCTGAGTTCAGCGCGTGCACCATCACTTAAAAGATTGAGGTAACGTTGCTTTTATATTCGTTATATTAGTGCTAATGTTGTTTTGAAGTCATATTTACGTGATTTTACACCGAATATTCAATGTACCTTGATAGACAATATAGGTCTATTACAATGACATTTTTATCTTTATCAATCTCTCATTAGGGAATTTCACTTTTAGAATATTTACTTCATTTGTATTGATTTTTTTTCTTAATCTGATATGAGAGGAAAAGTGAGAAGAGCAAGTTTGGCAAAAAACGGGACTAAAACCCATTAAATTAGGTTAAAAGCTTTCAGAGTCAGTCACGTTCAGGGGTTTTGCGACAGTGGGGATACACCCCCCCCCCCATTTTTAGAGGCAAACCATTTAGAAACATGTGATTAATAATTATATGAACATAAACTTTTGGTTCTCATTCAGCTACCTCCCCCCACTTTTAAAATGTCAACTATGCCCCTGGTCATGTTACTATTTACACCACTCAATCACAAATGTTGAATTTAACTTTGAAATTGAAAATTTAAGTGCGGAATTATGTACTTGGTAATTGACATTAACTTGATTTTCATCAAACATATTTTAACCACACTGTCAGAGTAAGTGCAATGTACTTAAATGCCCCCAGAAAAAAAACATAGTTTCAGATATAGTAATTAAATCTTAATTTAAGACTTTGTAAAATTATTTGTACTTAAAAATATACGAGAAAAGCATTTTTGTTGCAGTGCGAAAAAATGAATGAAGTGTTTAAACATAGCTTGCACTTTAAAAAGGGGCATGAGAGCTAAAGAAACTGAGTTTACTGAAGAAAATCTTCTCCTGAGCAGGTTAGATTCATGGTAACTTAAGTACCAGTTAACCTCTTTTTTTTAGTTCTCACTGTGTTTGGGCATTTGAATGGGTAAATGCAGATTACAGATTACACTTATCACTTTCTTAAAATTTTTTTTTATTTTTTATCATTTCTGTTGTGACAAATTTAGTATCTTGAATGCATATCCACTGAGTGAAACATACATTAACCAAATTCAGTTTTACACATTGTCATTTGCTACAATGTAGATTAGACATGTTGTCAGATTCAATATAATCCATAGTGCAAAAATGTGGCGAAACATGGGTGGAGAACAGAGCAGAGAACCATTGCACCTCTACTCCAAAGCATTAAGCTTCTCTAACTTTAGCTCATTCTGATTGGATATTTACTCACTGGAAGCCGTGTACCTGTCTGAGCGCACCCATACATTCAAACAAGCACAGAGACTAGACATGGGTCGGTATAAGATTCTGAAGGTATGATGTCCTTGGATAAAAATATCAAGGTTCTATAGTATTATGATTCCTGCTCTAATTAAATGTCTGGTAAAGAAACAAAAACAATTTTGCCTGTTGAATGTAATATATTTTATTTTGAGAAACATTTATAATATTTTGGAGCAGTAAACATGTCTGGCCAAATAATCATTCAAATGAGTCATTGCTGTCTTCATTAGTTTATAAAACACAGATTCCTTTACAATGTAAATCGCCATCTTTGGATAATTTGTCTGCTGGAGATGCTGTTGTCCTAAAAAAACAAAACAAAAAAAAAAGTTAAATATAGCGTAAGAGTGGTATAGCGGTAAAAAAACGCTGTATACCTTGAAAACGGTTATCGTCACTAAATTCAATTTGTAAACTTAAATGCAATACCAAAAAACAAAACAAAAGCAATTTGCATATGCATATTATTAAACAGTGGAAGTCTTGCTAAATGCCATGACATTGAAGGGGACGGAGGGTACTTTATGTGGTGGGGCGCCCCCTTTTATAATGGTAGGGAAAACACTGGATTAAAATAGTAGGATTGTTGGATTTAAACATTATTTTATTTTGATGAAATTTTGTAAACAGCCTTTATTATTTTGAGGGTGATTGAAGAATCAATTTACCCATTTCATAGAACATTCCACAACCATTGATTTACTTTACTTTCACGAAAGTGATCATAATATTAATAGACATTTTGTATAGAAACCGTTAACTTACTAGTACATGAGGCATAATTTTATTATGCTCTTCATTCCTAATTATGACTTAAATTCAAGGGGTGGCATAGTGGTAAGCACTGTTGCCTCACAGCAAGAAGGTCACTGGTTTAAGTCCCTGCTTGGCTACATTTCTGTGTGGAGTTTGCATGTTTTCCCCATGTTCGTGTGAGTTTCTTCAGGTGCTCTGATTTCCCCCTACATTCGCTGTAGGTGAATTGGGTAAACAAAAATTGCCCATAGTGTATGGGTGTGTGTGTGTAAGACTTCATGGTTGTTTTCCAGTTCTGGGTTGTGGCTGGAAGGGCATTCGCCTCGTAAAACATATGCTGGAATAGTTGGTGGTTCAGTCTGCTGTGGTGACCCCTGATAAATAAGGGACTAAGCCAAATGAAAATGAATGACTTTAATCTGAGTTATTTGTCTTGAACTTCTTTTTACTTTCATTTTAGATCAACAGAAAGAGAACAAAGAGAGTCAAGAATTGAGTGAAGCGGGGGAGAAAGAATCATGCCAAAGCTGAGAAACTCACAGACTAAAAGTCCTTTACCTAAAGAAAAATCCCCAAATTCTTCCAACTGCCCTCAACGTCGTGAAACACATCAGAAAGTTCATCATGTAAAAAAGCGGATCACATGTGAACAGTGCAAGAAGAGTTTCACACAGAAAAAACAGTTTGACGAACACTTGAAAACACACGCTGCAGAGAAGCTCTACTCATGTGATCAGTGTGAAAAGAGTTTCTCACGAAAGATTGACCTTCACCAACACTTACAAGTCCACAGCGATGAAAGGTTTTTCCCATGTGACCAGTGTGACAAGAGTTTTAAACAGAAAGGAAAGCTACAGGAACACATGAAAGTCCACAGAGATGAGAGGCCGCACTCATGTGACCAGTGCGGGAAAAGTTTCAAAATGGTAGGAAACTTAAACATGCACATGAAAATACACAGTGGAGAGAGGCCGTACTCATGTGATCAGTGCGGAAAGAGTTTTCCACTGAAAGGCACTCTTACGAAACACATGAACACTCACAAGGAAGAGAAGTCTTTCTCGTGTGACCAGTGCGGGAAGTGTTTTAAAGACAAAAGTTATTTACAGAAGCACATGATAATCCACACCGGAGAGAAGCCGTACTCGTGTGATCTGTGCGGGATGTGTTTTTCGATGAAATCAAAGCTTCGCATCCATATGAGGGTCCACACGGAAGAGAAGCCTTTCTCGTGTGATCAGTGTGGGAAGAGTTTTAAAGCAAAGTCGTACTTACAGAAACACGTTAAAATACATTCGACAGAGAAGCCGCACTCATGCGATCAGTGTGGAAAGACATTTTTGCTAAAAGCAAACCTTCAGCTACACTTGAAACTCCACAGTGAAGAGAAGCCTTTCTCATGTAAACAGTGCGGGAAGAGTTTCAAATTGGGAATGTACTTACAGGAGCACATGAAAGTCCACAGTGAAGTGAGACCGTATGTGTGTGATCAGTGTGAGAAGAGCTACAAGACGAAATCCAAGTTGAACATTCATCTGCGCATGCATGCTGAAAAAAAACCCTTCAGCTGTGATCAGTGTGGTAAAGAGTTTCTTTTGATTGAATACCTCAAGCAACATATGACGGTTCATAGCAAGGTGACTCCTCATAAGTGTCCAACATGTGGAAAATGCTTCAGGCTGCTGGATAACTTCAAAAGACACCAGGAAAGACACACCGGCGTAAAGAATCATATGTGCTTTGATTGCGGGAAGACCTTTTATAAAAGCAGTGAGCTGATTAAGCACCAGAGAGTTCACACTGGGGAAAAACCTTTTAAATGTTCGCACTGCGACAAGAGATTCAGTCATACGGGAAATCTGCGAAATCACGAGAGGGTCCACACTGGAGAGAGGCCGCACACATGTGATCAGTGCGGGAAAAGCTTCCAACAAAAACGCATCCTTAACGATCACATGAATATCCACACTGGAGCGACGCCGTACTCGTGTGATCAGTGCGACAAGAGTTTCTCCCATTTAACTGCTTTATATTCGCACCGGCAGATTCATTCTAAAGAAACGTTTAACTGTGAACATTGCAGCAAAACGTGCCCCTCTGCAGGGTTGCTGAAGAAGCACATGAAGGTTCACACATCGGAGAAGCCTTTTGCGTGTACTGTTTGTGAAAAGCGATTTAAATCTAAAGCGGGTTTCGAAGATCACCTGAAAATTCACGCTGGAGTAAAATCGTATGCGTGCATCAAGTGTGAGAGAATTTTTCGTAAAATGAGCCATTTGAGACGGCATCAACTAGTTCACACTGGAGAAAAGCCGTATCTCTGCGTTCCTTGTGGCAGGAAATTCACCCAATCGGGTTCTCTGCGAACTCATGCAAAAATTTGTCCAAAGTCAAAGTAAGTACTTCAGATTTGACACTGCAACAAATATGACACAATCATGTAATGATTTAATTTAATTCATCTTTATTTCTAAGGCGCTTTTACAATGTAGATTGTGTCAAAGCAGCTTAACATAGCTCTATTAAAGTCCAGATTTCAAAATTCAGTTTAGTTTAGTTCAGTGTGGTTTAAATTTCCTGTAGCAGAATGACTGTGACCTTAGACTTAGAATATCTTTATTGTCCCCGAAGGGCAATTAAGTTTACAGCAATAGCCGACAGTTGACAGCAAAAAGTCACATTAGTAAACAATACAATAATCACTTTTAGTAACCCAACTGCAGTTGGAACAAATGAATACAAGTATCTGTTGGACCTTGTCCGTCTATTATAAGTGTACCTTCTGCCTGATGGCAGGAGGCAAAACTTTAAATAAAGTGGGTGGCTCTCATCTGCTAAAATGGACATGGCCTTCTTTATGACTCTCTCCTCATACACTTGTGCAATACTGTTAAGATTTATGCCCAAGATCTTCTGTGATTGATAAACATTTTTTGAAAGTCAAAACCAACATATTACTGCAAAAGTTAAAAGAGACTCAATGAAAGAAGAATAAAATGTCCTAAGAAGAGGCCTATCCACATTAAATCCCTTCAACGTCCTCAAGTAGAACAGTCTTTGGCTGCGTCCGAAACCGCCTACTACTCAGTAGGTACTGCATTTGAATTTAAACGTACTACTCTGCCATTAAAAAAGTACGCTCTATACAGTATGAATGTGAAAAGTATGAATGGAATTCGGACGTACTACATTCGCCATTTTGTCATGGTCACGTGACCTACCTGCGTCAGTTGCGTCGCCTCATTTCCATTCATGGATTCGCTCGCGGGCATTATAGGATAGCGCAGCTTGCATGGGATGCGCACTTCAGAATCTCGCCGTAAGTAGTAAGTCATCCGGGTACTTCTCGCCTACTGATTTTCGAATTCTATGAATTCGGACATACTACTCGGCTCGCATACTGATTTTAGCGTACTATATAGTATGGAAGTATGCGGTTTTGGACGCAGCCTTTGATTTGCCTTTTTACAGATAAAATTAGTGTTGGCCTCAAAGTTCAATTTGTCATCCAAAATTTTACCCAGATATTTATTCTCACTCACTGTCTCCACAGCGGTACCGTTTATAGTAGTAGTAGTAGTTGCATTAAAAATAGAGTTATGGCGAAAATCAATAATCATCTCTTTTAGTTTTTGAGATATTAAGTTGTAAATATGAGTCTTTGCACCAAGCAACAAAGTCGTCCAACACTGGGCCATGACCCTCCTCATGATCAATCAAAAGACTAACAATGACAGATTCGTCAGCCTATCCAGGATACTAACAATATAGTATATAATTGGCAACGTGAAGGCTCAAAACAATGCAAGAAAGGATGACCGTCAGAATCACAAATGATTCAAGTCTTTTAAAAGTATGGTAGAGGTAAAGTGATTATCTGGCAATAGCCGAGAATAGCTTGGGAATATACATATTAGACACAACAGCCTATGTTAAGGCCAATGGCTTGACAAGATTGCAGATTTTTTTCTTTTCTTATTGTTGCCTTTATTTTATTTACTTTAAATTCAAGTGGTTCAAAACTGTCATGCACAAAGTGAGCATAATGAACATAGCTTTCTCAATTTAAAGTGCAATTAGAGGACCAACCCCTCAACCTCAGTCAATTTAGACCATAAAAATTAACATATAGGCTAAACATTGCCGAACTGCTTAGAAACTGCTTAGAAAGAAAACAGATCAAACAGAGATCTATAAGCTCAATAGTAACTATGTAGTATATAGTAACTATATACAAATTTTTTTTTTCTCTTCAGTAGGTTATGGATAAAATATGGTAATTCTTATGGTTAAATTTAAAATAAGAGATTTTTGGAATCACCAGGCGACTCCCTCATCCCCCCATCCCCCCACCCCCATTGTCCTGCAACACCCCCGGGGGGAACCCGAACCCCTCTTCGAGAACCACTCATTTAGATGAATGTGAGGAAAGTTAAAGTTATAGTATTCAAAATATGGATTCATTTGTAAAATTCTGTTATACTGTAATTATTTATTTGTGGTATATAAACCTTCTCCCAACTCCCTATTAGGGCTCTTTTTAGGATTGTTATTATTAACAAACTTGCTAAGTGTCTGTTGAATTTTAATAGTCCCTCTTTTAACCTTATTAATTGTGCAAGTGTTTTCAGAAAACCTGCATGTGCTGCTTTAAGAGCAATTTAGTAGATTCATAGAAAATTACAAGACTTAGAGTGTTTGAATTTAATAACAGATTTGTTTTTTATGTTTGCAGATCTGTTGCTTAGCAAGTCATCTTCAGTGAAACTCCTCCAACAACAGTTCACCCCTATTGAAGCTCCTCTCCATCAGTTGACCCTTAGTGAATCTCCTCCCACAAGAGTACAACAATGAATGCTGAAAAATAAGTGTAATTGCGAAAAATAATAAAAAATAATAATTGCGAAATAAGTGACAAAAACCCTTCTCCTCATTCAGTCAGTTACCTTTTCTAAGAATCTATACAAGAAAAAAAAGAAACAAATATCATGTTGTTGAACTGAACAGAGGTTTTAATCATCTCTTCTAAAGTCATACACGAGCTAAATTTACTTTATTGGATTTGTTTTGTTGTGCCTTGTATTTTTTCCATCAGTAAAGAGGATTTTTAAAAAATGTTTTCAAGTTTGCCTTATTTGACATTAGTTGACCAAGTGATCAATGACTACATCTGTTACTCATCCTTACTTTATTAACAACTTACTTTGTTAAATTTTATAATATGGTGATTCAATATTATAAAGGGGAAAAAAACGACTTTGTTATTGTTTGTTGACTTTTTACATTCTCTTATTCTTTTTTTTTTTTTTTAATTGTTTTAATATTTTTTGATTGGCCGTCCACCTTTCAGGCCTTGTAAACTGTTTAATGATTTTTAGATGTATTTTAACCCTGTAAGTATCTACTTTTTTGACTTTGTGTTTTAAAGACATAGCTTATTTTCTAATAAGTAATCGTTCATTGTAGTCCAGGCCCCATAGCCAATGGGGGGTTCAGGTGGTTTGAAAGACCCACCCCTCCCTGACAAAGGTTCAGAATTTGCCCCATACATGAGCTCTTTTGTCCTATTTTGACTGCTATACCATCATCAATTGTGGAAAACTCACCGAAAGCATCAAGACCACACAGAATCTGACGTAAATAAAGTCAACTTTCACTATTGACCTACTGTTTTGTTAAAGAAGAAAACATTTTACATGTAACTTTTATTAAGTCTTGGACCATATTCTTGAATGAAAACATAATTAATAAAAAGGTACACAGCACTAAAAGTTGCCCATATTAAAGTTATTTTAATACCAATTAGGCTATTGTTGTTATCCGAGAATTTTCTAATCTAGAAAACATTGTGAAGCTCTACATTATTAATATTGCGTTTTAAAAGTTTTTTATTCAAATGGTCAAGTTCTGATTGAGGAAAGCTGAATGTGCTGGCCAGTTTGTTATTTGCCTTACAAATGACTTTTTTCCTGAAATAAAGGCCTATATGATATAATTAGTATTTTACATTTTTTCGTGGTTCTTGATTGTAAATCTTTATAAAATATTTTTGGTTTTGATGACCATCCAACAAGTTAATCCAGCTAAAAATAGTGCTTAAAATGTTACTAAATGGAGCATATAAACCTCATAATTACATACAAAATAAGCCGAATAACTGAAAAAATAATCTACTTTTTTGAGAAAGAACCACTCCTTTCACCACTTAGTGTGTGTAAATATATAGTTCACTCCAAAATGAAAATTCTTTCAGCATTTACCCCTCCTTATGTCATTAAATTACACATTTGTTCCTCTTTAGAACACACACACACACACACACACACACACACACACATATATATATATATATATATATATATATATATATATATATATATATATATATATACACTCACACACACACATCCCCTAACAAATGCAATATATATATATATATATATATATATATATATATATATATATATATATATAAAATGCATTTGTCTCAGACGCTTAACCTGAAACACAAAGTATACTTGGCTTGATTTTACAACCTTTTTATTTTTTTATAATAAAATAATAATTGTATAATACAACTTAGAATACAGTAAAAAAGAATAGTTATTTTACACAATAATCACATTAGATACACAGGATAAAGAGCAAAAGAAACGTACAATAAGGTATAAATAAAAATAATAATCAAAAGAAATCATGTAGCATAAAAGATCTTAACATATTTGCCCATGAAAGAAGCACATTTATTATTATCAATTAATCTGAATGATTTTAATTTGTTCTATTTCACTCATGAAGTCTATACAAATTGATTTTTTAAGGAACCTCTGTAAAAGTAAAATTTCCAGCAAGTATAAGAAAGTTCACAATATATTCAAAATAACAAATAAAGTCCTTAAGGAGCAAATTACAATTTATATTTTCTTCAGCAGGGTTTAAAATGGTTAAGTTCTGCATTATCATCATTCTGTAAAGCGCTAGGTGTCCGTGCTGGGGACACCGAGCTACAAGCAACAAAGTAGCTCTGTTTAATTCATGGAGAGATTAATGACTGTGTACGTGGTTGCTGTTTTTTTAGGAATGATATTACTGAATGCTAGGCATGGTGCGAACTCTTGGATCCAGAAGCCTCTTCGCGTAACGTCACTCTTAACTGCTGACTTTTAGTTCAATAAACTCCTAATTTGCTGCTTAATTAAAAGTTTTTAAGGTCATTTTTTGGTAAGATTAGGGATGTACAAAATAGCATGTATTATGCATGATTGTATAACTACAATAAATTGTACATTATAGATTGTATAGCTACTAATAAACAGCCAACATTTGAATAATTGACAGGTAATAAGTCATTAGTTAGTAGTGAGACTTAGCAATTAAACTAAAGTGTTACCATTTTTATTTCATTTTAGACCTAAAAGAAGAAAACAAGGAGGATGGTGAATTACGTGGAAAGAATGAGAAACACAAATCTTTAAAAAACTCTACAAGACGATCGCTGAAAAGAGCTTAAAAAAAAAACTCTCACCTGTTCTTTGTGCGGCGAAGACCTTCAAATATAAACATAGTCTTCCAATTTATATGAGAGGTCATAATGGAGAGAAACCGTTCACATGCCAACAATGCGGGCATAGTTTCACACAAAGGCTGGGCCTTAGAGGCCACATGCTGATCCACTCCGGAGAGAAGCCGTATTCATGTGATCAATGTGGGAAGAGTTACAGATACGCAAAAAGTCTTAAAATACTCCTCCTTTGTCATTCTGGAGCGAGACCGTATAACTGTGTAATATCAGTGTAATAAAGCATTTACCAGTGTAGATTCCTTAAGGACCCACTTGAAAATTCATAACAAGGAGAAGCCTTATGTTTGTTCGTTGTGTGGACGGAGTTTTTGTCAGTTTGGTGCTTTTAGTACGCACCTGAAAAGACACCGTGGTGTGAAGGATTACTTGTGCTTTGATTGTGGGAAATCTTTTATTAGAGACGCCGAACTGAAACAGCAGCAGAGAGTTCACACCGGAGAGAAACCTTTTAAGTGTTCACACTGCGACAGAGGCTTCAGTCAGCCAAGACATATGAAAGTACATGAGAGGATCCACACTGGAGAAAAACCACACACGTGTCTACTGCAGAAAGTTATTCGCTCAAGACCATTTCACTGCGATCAGTGCGGAAAATCTTTTTTTAAGGGCAGACAGCCTGAAGAAGCACCTGAAAGTTCATACAAAAGAGAAGCCTTATGTTTGTTCTACATGTGGAAAGTGTTTCAGTGAGATGAGCACTTTAAAACTACACCAGAAAAGACACAATGGTGTGAAGAATCAAACGTGCGTTGATTGCGGAAAGACCTTTGTTACGAAAGCTGAACTGAAGCTGCACCAGAGAACTCACACTGGACAAAAACCTTACAAGTGTTCACACTGCGACAGGGTGTTTAAGTGGTTAGTGTCTTTAAAAATACATGAGAGGATCCACACTGGTGAAGTGCCATATCACTGTGCTCAGTGTGGGAGAGGATTTGGTAAATTAGCTTATCTGCGCAATCATAAAAATAAATGTGTAATTAAAGAACCATCATTTAAAGTGTGATTCAACATATATTGGATTGTAGGAGCACAAGAGCTCTACAATGAAGACTGGTTATATTGAATGTATACATTTACATTGGAAAGTATGAGGGAAGCTTTTTTTTAAAAAGCGAAAGTGAAAGTAAAACTTTGGCTGTGCTGTATCATCAATTGCCTCAACAATTCTCACTGTGAATGTGGAAAGTGTGTTTCTGTGTGTAAACAACACAACGAAAATAAAAATGAAAAACAGCAGGCTGGTAGGAAAGTGAAAGTGAAAGTAAAGCTATTACCTCACAAAACTGAACATTAAAGCCATATTGCTTTACATGCACCACAAATAAAGTAGGAAACCATATCTGGAAATTTATATTTTTGTACCTTATCGATGTAATCACTTTTGGTTTTGTATGCATTAATGTATTAATTGAGTTATATTAATATAGTTTAACATTGAGTAGTTTTTGATGCAATGGTATATAACGATCATATACGTAATCCATATTAAGAGTGATTCCTTCCAAATGAACAATGTCTCATTAGTTTTATTTTCAGATATCATTTTAATTCATTATATCATTATAATGATTTTGTGTTGTTTAACTTGTTTCATTTAAATATGATGTTGATCATTGTATTTATCATAAATCTTTTGTTTAAAATAAGTTGTGTACATATTTTTCTAATTAATATTTGGGAGATTTTGGTTGTAAAGTATATTTTTACCTTGCGTTGATGACGTCACTAGAGTCTCACAGTCTGGTAAGTTGTTATATATGACAAAACACTGTTATCTTGAAATGACTGTGTTTTGCTGACATTAAGAAGAATGCACAATGTTTGATGTTTAAATTACATACTGTGTGCAATAGGGTGAGATATTGCATCGCAGCGCCATGCGTTTTAGAATCAAAGGGGTGTGCATTTTGCATTTTCTATCAAGGGGGTGCGCGACTATTTTTTAGAATTTTAACATGCATGGTGCTGCATCGTCGCTGGGCGCAGCATCCAGTGTGTGACCCCTCTCTTAACAATGTCACTACTGGGACTGTATTGCTGATATATATATATATATATATATATATATATATATATATATATATATATATATATATATATATATATATATATATATACAGATTTTTTTTCGCCTATCAATATATTTATTTACAATTTTCATGATTTTCTCAGAATTAAGTTATTTTACCCGTAGACATGCTGATAAATTTGCATATGGCCCAAGACACTGATGGCTAATTTTTCAGTTTTATTTTTTCGGGGGTGAGGGAGTAGTTAAATGGAAAGACTTCACCAATGTCTTTAAGCTTTCAGTTTTGTTTAAAAGGGAGATGATGGTTTTTCTTTCTTCAATTTAGTAGCTAGCTAGCATAAATTGATATCAGAGGGAATCAGTTGATAGGTTCTGAATAGGTGCATAAGAAATATTTTGAAATGTAAACAAACCATAAATCATACCAATGAAAAACTTTACTCGAAATGTTGTGTACACTGCAGTTTTATTTATTTATTTAATGTTACTTTCTAGTCAAC